TCCTCCGCTTTGTTGTTGTGGAAGAGAGATGGTTAGGGTTAGGGATAGGAAGTGTTCATTTTACATTGTTCGCTTCGAGGAAGTCGAGTGAATGGAGTCGCTGATTGGCTGTGGTCCGGAACTCAAGTGGGAAAATAATTTTGCGGGCGTCGCACCCCACCCCCCTAGAATTTTTAGGGCAAGAGTATTTTAGGCTAACACCATCCCTTCTCGCCGCTTCGTGCCTTGAGCTTGCCATGATTCGCCCCACCCAGAATTCACTTCTGGATCCGCCACTGCAAAGGGTTATCTTTCGTTACGAATATGGGAGTCGCTGGTGCATAACCATTTATTTTTTATGAGTGTCTTCCAGCCATGTCAAATCACGTGAAACAACTGTGGAAGGAATTTGGAACAAAGTTATTCTAGTTAAAAACAACTTTACACAATCTTGTGTTCTTGGTCGTGGGCAAACCAACAAAAAACTACATCCAACTTTAGAAGCACTCGAATATATTATAAAACACATATACAGACAAAACAGTTACAACACAATGCAAAACAGTTACACTAGATTTACATACTCTATTGTGTGCCGCCGAACTACACATCAAATGTGCAGTAATAAAATATAACGGGTAGTTCGTTGGAAGGCACACAAATGCCTCAACTCAGCGGGACACACCCAGCTACATATACGTATATAATATATATATATAGCTGTACTAATTAGGAAGTTGTCTAATGAGCAACCTGTAACGGTTTCTTCGTTTGTAAAACGTGGAAGTTCGTGTGTAAAATTCTTCTCTTACGCGCTCACGTAACGCGTGAAATATAGCTGTCTCATTGTGTGTTTTATGCTGTGACCTTTATTTGTGCGCACTTCAGCCTCTTTGTCTAACTCAGACTAGAGGGGGCAGAATCAGTGGGAATGCAGAGACGAAAATTCTCAAGTTTCTCACGTTGAACACCAGTAACAAGTAAACATCTGTGTTTCTGAGGTTATTTCTCAATACGGCGCCTGTCTTAGAACCTCTGGACGTTCAACACAGTACAAGATGTTACAGTAACTGTTGTCTCTAAAATATAGGTGCTAAACATCAACATATCACGTGGATATCACAGAGTTGCCCTGGAACGTACTATGCTCACATAATATATATAACTACAACAGGAAACAACAACAACAACAACAACAACAACAACAACAACAACAACAACAACGAGCATGGCGCACTGCACTGCAAATCATAGACTTCTATTTCAAAACAGAGTTATTGTTAATCTTCATCTTAAAATAACTCGACATGACCTACTATGGCTTAAAAAAGACCTTAGAATAAAGGCCGCCGCACACCAGCCGATTTTTCACGCGATTTGATCGGCCCGATAGAATCAGCCGATATCGCGGTAGGTGTGCGCGTTCATTTGTAGACGATTTTATTTTTATCGGGTGATCGTTCCAAATCAAACATGTTTGATTTTGAACCGATGAGCATGAGCCGATTTACAAACGATGAAGCGATGAAGCGATGAAGCGATGAAGCGATGTAGGTGTGCGGCGGCCTTAAGAAATCACGTCATGACAAAATGGAACGCACTATAGTCTATAGCAACAACGGTAAATCTCTCGATTTTGATGGTGCCAAACGAAGCCGAAATTGCTCTTTTAATTATGACTGAATATTCCTAGCGCAAGGCGTAAAAGTAGTGTTACTTTATTATTGCGGTGAAAATGGCGTGTCACCATTCTATACGGCGTACATGACAGCAACTCTTTGCTTTAGTAAATGACGCGGGTGCATCGACTTACACAGCACATCGCTTGATTGTCGTTAGACCAATTTCATGTGACTAGAAATTCTTTCGAATATTAACAAACGCAACTCTATGCACACAGATCTAATAACATCAGGAGTAAGATAATATAGGGTAAGATAATATATCCTATATTATCTTACTCCTGATAACATCAATACACGACAACCAACAGAATCCCATCAGGCAGCTCCAGGAGAAGGGGAATCTCTTAATTACGACCATACACGGTCCGTCAAAAAATTCTTAAAAACAAACATCACATAAACATCGTTCAAATTCAACATGACATAAACTAAGTGTAAATGGAATGATGAAGTGGAAAAAACAGCCTCGTTTTGTCGGGCTGTAACGCTACTGTCCACCCATATTTCAACTGTGGCTCACTTCTTTTCTCTAAGATATGGCTAATGAGTAATCTAACTAGTTCCTCTCTGGAAGATTACGAGATCTACAAACCGTTACTATTTGTATATATCAGAAGAAAGGCCATTGGATAATTTTCCAATAAGAAAAATAGAAAATTTTCCAATTTTCATTTTCCCAAAACAGAATCTCTTCCATTTAATATATTGGGTCTGCGGCTTTTATTTCCTGAGATTATTTTTTTGACGTTTGACTCCTCTCGCCATTTCCTAATATGTCATTATATCCCAAATATGGAAACGTGATAATACTAAATGTGTATATAACCGCACGTGGTGGATGATAAATTAGGATTCCACATGGTATATATCTAGCGTACAATGATTATACATTGATGTGATCAGGGAACAATGGCTATATACGACTCACATACCAAAATACAAGGCTGGAAAAAATTGCCTTGCTCAATCTGCCAATTTCCTCCTACATGTTTACCTAAAGTACATGAATCTATGATCAAACCGACTTAAAATGAACATACGCTGCTTTCCTTCTATTTTAGAATATATATATATATATATATAGATAAAGTTATACGGACACGGTAGAAATTTTGACTCTGTTTATTGCATACAGAACTGTTTCGTGCTCCACACTCATCAGTGCCTAATACAGAGTATGTAGACTCTGTATTAGGCACTGATGAGTGTGGAGCTTTCGCTCCACACGAAACAGTTCTGTATGCAATAAACAGTCAAAATTTCTACCATGTCCGTATAACTTTATCTATATTTTCTCTACTCATGGTAGTATTGAGCACTCTCGACACACGAGTTCATAAACAACCATTGGAATCTATAATATAATATATATAATATATATATTATAAATATATATATATATATATATACACTCGACCTACGTAATAGCCAGCCATAGGTCTCAACTTTACTCGTATATGTTATACGTACTAAAATATTATGTAACAGGGATACTGTTGTTTGGACGGTTATATAACTTTCTCATTCACTATTATATATATATATATATATATAATATATATATATATATAAATATATATATATATATATATGTATATATATATATATTCTACGTAATAAAACTGAGATGGTGAAGATAGCTCTCTAGCTACAGTACGGTAGAGCACAGATATGAGATCCATTGCGGGTATTTCGTCGTTCTTCGCGTCTCTCCGCGTCGCTGGTATAGATGGCGCCTCAGTCTCTCGCCTCGGGCACCTCGTTGCCGTCGACGACGAGGGTGTGTATGATGCCCTCGCGTTTCTTGCCGCTGCTCACGGCTTTGATGTATGCGACGTGCGATCCGATGCTGAAGTGTGTCTCCGTACCATCCTCCACAAACTCTCCCTAATCGATCGCCGTCAATTTATCGATTAGTAATGAATAGTTAATAATAATATAAATAATAATTCATACAATTAATAATACTTATATAATAATTACGAATAATAAATTAATAACACGATGTTCCTATTACTCGATGCATGTAAGAGTGTCCACAGATAGACAGCAAACACTTGAAAGAAACATGTTTTTTTAATAAGCTTGGCAAGATGTATATATATGGACTTGGCAGTGCAATAATTTGACACATGCTTGTGATATTAAGTATGAATAATGCATGGGATTTTCATTGTAATTTTATTTAATTCAGTGTTAAAATGATCTATTTACCTAAATAGTCTGAAGGCATGAAAATGACTGCCAGTGTCATAAAATTAACAGAAATGATCTACATCACATGGCATTTAAAACCAGAGTTTGCCGTGTAGAATGAATGATACACGGCCAGAGAGAAGATCATGTAGTTTAGTAGTTCATGAATAATACAATGGCACAGATCACGTTTTCACACACACCATACTTATAACAATAACGACTTACCGTCGTGTCTAATTTTTGCCCACTGCACCAGACATCCAGTGTGTCCTTTTCTGAAATGAAAGAGAACGACGCAAATGAGAGTCAGGAGATAGACAGAACATTACAGGGTCAGCTTACTATTTTACCATTCACACCTCACAACCCTCCCCCCCCTACCACGCCGGCGGAAGCAGCAGGGACGCCACCTGACTACCAGAGGCAGCACGGGCGCCACCTGGTGGGTGATCTCACCGAGTACAACTCTGGTCTGCACATCGTCGACGACCAACGTCCAGCACTTGGTGATCTTCGATTGGTTCTCGGTGAACTTCTTCAGGCTCTTGCCGTTCACGTTGAGCGTGTATTCGTAGGCGAATCCTGCGACGGCGTCGATGGCGACGCAACAGCGAACCTTGCCGATCATGAACTGTTCCTTACCGACGAGCTTGAACATCCAGTCGTGACGACGAATCTCCTGAAACAAGCGCGAACAACGAGGGTGAACAACACGCACGAACAACGAGAGTGAACAACACGCTATGGTGCCAAACGAAGCCGAAATTGCTCTTTTAATTATGACTGAATATTCCTAGCGCAAGGCGTAAAAGTAGTGTTACTTTATTATTGCGGTGAAAATGGCGTGTCACCATTCTATACGCGTACATGACAGCAACTCTTTGCTTTAGTAAATGACGCGGTTGCATCGACTTACACAGCACATCGCTTGATTGTCGTTAGACCAATTTCATGTTGACTAGAAATTCTTTCGAATATTAACAAACGCAACTCTATGCACACAGATCTAATAACATCAGGAGTAAGATAATATAGGGTAAGATAATATATCCTATATTATCTTACTCCTGATAACATCAATACACAACAACCAACAGAATCCCATCAGGCCGATCCAGGGAGAAGGGGAATCTCTTAATTACGACCATACACGGTCCGTCTAAAAAATTCTTAAAACAAACATCACATAAACATCGTTCAAATTCAACATGACATAAACTAAGTGTAAATGGAATGATGAAGTGGAAAAAACAGCCTCGTTTTGTCGGGCTGTAACGCTACTGCCCACCCACATTACAACTGTGGCTCCCTTCTTTTCTCTAAGATATGGCTAATGAGTAATCTAACTAGTTCCTCTCTGGAAGATTACGAGATCTACAAACCGTTACTATTTGTATATATCAGAAGAAAGGCCATTGGATAATTTTCCAATAAGAAAAATAGAAAATTTTCCAATTTTCATTTTCCCAAAACAGGAATCTCTTCCATTTTAATATATTGGGTCTGCGGCTTTATTTCCTGAGATTATTTTTTTGACGTTTGACTCCTCTCGCCATTTCCTAATATGTCATTATGTCCCAAATATGGAAACGTGATAATACTAAATGTGAATATAACCACACATGGTGGATGATAAATTAGGATTCCACATGGTATATATCTAGCGTACAATGATTATACATTGATGTGATCAGGGAACAATGGCTATATACGACTCACATACCAAAATACAAGGCTGGAAAAAATTGCCTTGCTCAATCTGCTGATTTATTCCTACATGTTTACCTAAAGTACATGAATCTATGATCAAACCGACTTAAAATGAACATACGCTGCTTTCCTTCTATTTTAGAATATATATATATATATATAGATAAAGTTATACGGA